GGCGGGGAAAGCCACCATGTAGCCCCTTTTCCTTCTGTGAGTCGCACGTGTTTGGGCAAGAGAGAGACCACTTAGTATTTGTTATTCTCCTGCATCACTTAGAAGACTTAATTGTGTATTAGGGATATTGTCTTTTGCTGCGAGGTATCCAATGTGCATTGTACATGGCCAACTATTATCAGAATTGAAAAAGAAGCACTCTGAGGTCTGCATAATCATCTGCTTTCCTAAATGAAGCATCTAGATATGGGCTGGGCCCAAATGGTGGAATAGTGACCTCTCTCAATCTCTTCGCTACAAGATTTGATCAGGTATGAGGTTGTTCCTATGTGATACTGTGTTACAAATACTGTGCTGGGAGAGTGGGGGTTCCTGTGTATTTGATGTCTCAGAGAGCACTATGTTTGGTTAGCCTCCTAATACTTCTTTGGAGATAGAGTATTCTCCATACAGAACCATGTATTTTGCAAAGCAGCCAAAGCACATTAGCTTTCATTTGAGACATTTCAGTTTGTCAGCATTTTTAAAAGTAAAATTTAGAAGCCACATGTACAGAACATTCTTTAGTCTTTGTACGTAACTGTTGCACTATGTTCGCTATAAAATCTTTCATGTGAATGCTCTGATTTTGAAGTAGGGAAGCTCACTTCTGGAAGTGGGTTAAGTTTTCTTAGGGTTATTTGATAATTGACTGCTTTCTTAAATCGTAATGCTAAATCAGCGCTGGGGTGAGAACTTATGCGAGATATTGAGACAGTGCACAATCTCTTAGTAAAAAAGTAGGGAACAAATGCATTTGTTATACCATTTCTTTAGCCAGGTACTAGAACACAGACAAAATCAAGGTTGTCTTTGACCTATGCAGTGTCTGAGCATTTTCCACCTTTCCTTAGTAGGGCATTTTCACACGTTGAAAAGCTTAGAGAATTTAATCTTCTTTTGATACATATATGCAGCTGTCCAAGTTAATGTAGATTCTGTTATGAAAAGATTATGAAAGTTTCCTGTTGTGAATGTACATACAAAGTATACTCCTTCTTTTTCAATCAGGTGATGAAGTTTATTGAAAAGAGACAAAATGCATCCAAGTGAGTACATTCTACCAAGTTCTACTTTTCTAGGATCAGTGTGGGAAAACCATGTGAAATCCTAAAAAGGTTCTCTGCATGTTTTCTAGTTGTTTTTCAGCCTTGGTATAAATTTTATGTGGAAAAGGGCATAGAATTGGAACAGATCAACTAGACTTTCTTCGGATACATCCTGCTGATTCCAGTTCTGCTTTTCTTGTCTTCCCTTAGACTGTCATTTTTTCTCATGCACTGTTCAAATAGGCAACAATTAATTCTTCTTCTGAAGAGTTTGCAGTCAATTTTTGTCTGTCTAATTGATGCCTTCAACTTTAATAGAATCTGAAGAGAGTACATGCTTCTTAGTTACAAAATTCACACAGGAAATTTTCAGGCATACCCATAAATGTTTTCACTGTTTGGGAGAAGCTTTTCTGATCAGTAACAGAATAATCATGTGATTTGCATGTGCTTGTGGTAATCTAGTCAGAACAGGACTGTGTGCTTAACTAATTTTCCCTTATTGTTTGTCGGGAGTGGCTTCTTAACAGGTATGTTATTATTGACACACCAGGGCAAATTGAGGTATTCACCTGGTCAGCATCAGGAACCATCATAACTGAGGCCCTGGTAAGTGTTTTCTACATGACTTGACAGTGAACCTGTGTGAAAGAAGTGGCTGTTGAACAGCATGTACTTCTAATTAAAATATCTTTTACTTTGTGTTTCCAGGCTTCCTCTTTTCCTTCAGTTGTTGTTTATGTGATGGACACCTCTCGCAGTGCTAACCCTATCACGTTTATGTCCAACATGCTGTATGCCTGCAGGTAAGAAAAGCTGAAAATGCAGTCCATCTGCTTTGATTTCTGTCTCTTTTGGTACTTATTTTGGAGGGGAGTCATAGAACAGTTTGGGTTGGAAGGGACCTTTAAAGACCATCTAGTCACCCCCCTCCCGCCACAGGCAGGGACATCTTGCACTAGATCAGGTTGCTCAAAGCCCTGTCCAACCTGACCCTGAACACTTCCAGTGATTGGGCATCCACAGCTTCTCTGGGCAACCTGCTCCAATGTCTCACCACCCTCATCATAAAAAATTGCTTCCTTATGTCCAATCTAAACCTACCCTCTTTCAGTTCAAAACCATCATCCCTTGTTCTGTCACTACAGGCCTTGGTAAAAAGTCTCTCTCCATTTTTCTTATAAGCTCCCTTTACATACTGAAAGGCCACAATAATGTCTCCCTGAAGCCTTGTCTTCTGGAGGCTGAACAACCCCAGCTCTCACAGCCTTTCTTCATAGGAGAGGCGTTCCAGCCTTCTGATTGTTTTTGTGGCCCTCCTCAGGGCCCACAGAGACCCACTCTAACAGGTCCATGTCTTTCCTGTACCGTGGGCCCCAGAACTGGACACAGTGCTCCAGGCAGGGTACCGTGAGAGCAGAGCAGCAAGGGAGAATCACTTCCCTCGACCTGCTGGCCATGCTTCTTTTGATGCAGCCCCGGATACGGTTGGCCTTCTGGGCTACAAGCGCACATTGATGCCTCTCATATTCACTTAATCTGCTGTTTTGGTTATTGTCGGTCTTAGTGGTTTTTCCATTGGATAGGCAAATTAATTTAGTTGCCAATGGACATCTGGAGGTCATTGGGTCAAAACTCCCACTGAAAGCATTAAATAATCCATGAGACCTTAGTGTGATGAAGGCTAGTTACATCAGATCTAACACATTGCCTGTTGCTTATAAAACCATTTATCTAAGATGTATCAAGATAGCCTAGTTTAAGCTCCTTCTTGTAAAGACATAATACTTTATTCTAATTTTTTTTAATATTATTGATACTTTCAGTGATTCTTCAAGATTTATTTGGAGCTCAGCATAGCGTGGAGTTCTTGATTTATTGTCTTCCTCCTCGTACATGGATTTATCTGTTTTCTTTCATGTTAAACCAGGGACTAAATACCTATGTAAAGATCAACATATCTAGAGCTGTCATGGTAAATGTTGGTAAAAGGCTTTCAAAAACCTATCAATCCTTGTACCAAGGTTAAAAGCTATATTACTGTAATAGTATGCAAAATGTGTCTTATCACGTGCTGCCTTTTCTGACATTAGTGTTGAGCAAAAGATGCTAGAATATATACAGGGAAATGAATATGTAAGCTCATGTTTCAAGATAGTTTTGCTTTATAGATGTTTGAGTTCTTTGAATTCATTGCTCAGTTCACAAATAATATCTCAGAACCTAAGGTTTGAGTCAGAAGAATTAGAAAATGCAAAGAGACTTAAAAACTGGGATCTGAGAGTCATAGAAACAGTAATCAAAATCAACTGGATGTATAGAAGGAGATGTTATATCTTATAGATGTGCACTTACATCTTGGGGGGCTGTATTTTGTTCAACTATGGTAAGCAGGATCTGGGTGAAAATTACATTCTAATTGATGCAGAGGAAAATAATTATCTTTTGAAGTTAAACGTCTTCAGTTTTGCATGAGTCTTGTCTGCCTTACGCTTAACTTGTTGTCTATTCTAGTGAGATTTAAATTAATTTTTAATGGGGTTTTTTGTGTTGTTTTTTTTTTCCCCCCAGTATCCTCTACAAGACAAAGCTACCTTTCATTGTTGTCATGAACAAAGTAAGTTAAAGCTGTGGTTTCTATGTCCTAGTGGAACATTGTTCTGTTTAGCTTGCTTTGCTGTAGTGTCTTTGTCTTAGTACAATAATAGATTTTCTAGAAAAGAGAGGCTGAGAGGGAGCTGCAGGCTGAAAACCGAATCTAAAAGGGTCTTTAATCTGGTATACAAATGCACAAGAAGAATCAGGGATGGCAGTTACACCCAAACGTTCAAGTTAGAGATGATACTAACAATATGAAAAATGTTTTGCACCTTAACCCTGGGCTATAAGGAAACTTAGCTTTGTTTGCTTACAAGTAAGTTCATTACTAATCTGCTTTTATAGTCCCCTGCTGCCTCAGAACAATTGTCTTAATCATTAATTATTTCTGCTCAGCAGCAGGCTGATGAGTCACAGTGGGAATTGTGTAACACCTGCCTGTTTTGAGGAAGGACACCCATGTATTGTAGCAGGCAAAACTTAACAAAAGGTTAAGTTACATCAGTCTTGATCAGACACACTAAAAATATGCCAGTATTTGCCAAAAAGCAGATACTTACTAGCCTAAGGATACACCTCCACTGTTGTGTAAGGTACTTGTAGCCTTAAAGGAGTGCTTTTGAACTTAACAGCTAGCCAGCTCTTTAAACATAACAATTTCACATATTAAAAGAATCCCATTAGATTTTTGGTGTGAGTACTCTTCCTTTTCCCCACAGACATCCTTTGTATTGTAAGGAATTGCTCTCCAACATAGCAAGCTTTGTGCGCGCGTGTACGTATATCCCATACGCTTCCTCTAGAAAACCCATGCTTTGAATGTGAAATTTTACCTCACACCAGCCGAGTAGGATTAGTGTCTGATGTATTCCAACTACACACATCTTCCCAGTGACCCAAATCATGCATGTCTTTGATATCTGCTTGCTTGCTTAACAAGTTTTTGTACATTGTTTTCTTTCTAACTCTAGACAGTGATTTTAGAATAAGCTGTTAAGCTTTTTCTGTAGAAAAAGGCATGAGGTAGGAAAATCATTCTCTTTTAAGGAAATACATTTTTTTGAAAGACTTGAAAGAAATGGGACTTCATTAGTATGTGTAAGGAAAGGTAGGCCCAAGGCTTAGGATTCATAACTTTAAACTTAATTTTGATCTGATATTTAGCCTTTGGTAAAAAGTAAAGCCAACAGCATTTGAAGAATTTTTGACAAGCATTTTAAAATTGCATCTTGATAAGAATGGAAGAATCCCAAGAAACTGGTACATGTGCAGTGGCAAACACATAGATTTAAGGAATGTTAAGATTGGCAGAGGAAAAAAAAATGTAATTTGTAGAATTAATTTAATTTTATTTATAGAATTTAATCAAGCTAACTCTAAATAGTCAGGGTTTGACCCTTGATGGATCCAGTTCTGTCTCAAATCTCTTGAGTAATGCTAGGCAATACTTTCTTTATCTATTTTCTTCCTTCCCATTGGTGCTGGGAAATGAAATATATCAGAGTTCTAGACACATTTATATTGTGATAATAGTGGATATGCATGTGGTAAGATATGTTTATACTCTTTAATAGACTGTTTGCATACTAATCCATGTAAAATTATGGAACCATCTCACCTGTTTGTGTCCATCGTCTTGCACTGAGTTTAGATTATAACTTCTTCAGGTCAGAAGAAGATCCTGTAGGCTGTTTTTTACCAAGATCCTGTAGGCTGTTACCCAACGTGGAAATGGCTCCCTTTCCCTGCTGACCCCAAGCCAATCAAGAAAGAATGGGATCTTCAATGAGGACTGTTCTTGTCTGGCCTCAATCTAATATTTACAACTTAAGCTTTCTTGTACAGTATGCAATTTTTGGATGCCCCTTTCCAGTAAACAATAGAAGCCTTTAGACTTGCAATTGTTTCCTTAAACATGCCTTCTTAAATCTGGGGTAGGGGTTGTTTGTCTTCTCTTCTGTATTCAAGTAATTGGTTTGATAAAAACAGAGCTTAGAAAACTTTAGATCAGGGCTGAATATTTTGAAAAGGTCAGCATTTTGAAAGTAAGTTTAAAATGGAAATTTTTTTATGTGTCCACTTAACAGCCTAAGGCTAAGAATTCATCATTATTACTTCTGCAACTTTTCTCTTCTCCTTCCAGACTGACATAATTGACCACAGTTTTGCAGTAGAATGGATGCAGGACTTTGAGACTTTTCAGGATGCCCTGAATCAAGAGACATCCTATGTCAGTAACCTGACTCGTTCTATGAGTTTAGTGTTGGATGAATTTTACAGTTCACTGAAGGTAAGAATCTTCCTTTTTTTACTACCTCTCATAAAAGCCTGGAGAAGAGAAAGCTCAAGGAGGATATTATTGATGTGTAAAAGTACCTGATGGGAGGATGTAAGGAAGACAGAGGGAGGCTCTTTTCAGTGGTGCCCAGTGAAAGGACAAGAGGCAATAGACACAAAGTGAAATACAGGAAACTGTGTTTAAACAGAAGAGGAAAAAAGTAATTTTACTGATTGAGCACTGGAACAGATGGTCCGGAGAAATTGTGGAGTCTCCATCCTTGGAGATACTCAAAACATGCTCAGACAAGATCTTGAGCAACCTGTTCTAGTTAATCCTGCTTTCTGAGCAGGAGCGGTTGGACTAGATGATCTCCAGAGGCATCTTCCAACCTCAGCCATTCTGTCCTTCTGTAAAAGGGCTTTGCACTGCCCTTTTGAACTGGAATCTGTTGACGAGTCTTGCACTGGGGGTGAGGATTTGCTGGTTTGAACAGTAACTTTAGTTGCTTGTCACACTGAGTGGCAGCCTGAATCTTTTGACGGTGAATTGTGATTAATCATCAGAAGAAAGCTAAGATAGGCTGGTAAAAGGTAATGTTCTGTGTTGCAGTGTCTCTCATCTGAGATAATTTTCCTTGTTCTGAAAGTGTCAAGTACAGTTGGACAATTTACTATGTAGGAAGAAGGGAAAGAATCTCAAAAAACAACCAAAAAAAATCACGTGTATTTGCTGATGCAAGAAAAAGTGGGGTTTTTTCCACTTACCAGGTTTTGAGAGGACAAATCCATTCAGTTTCTCTGAAAACACTATACATTGGAGGATGTTAATGATCCCATAGTCTGTGCTAAAAGGGTTCAGCTAATTGTGTTTTTCATCAGCTTTTACTTAAAAAGCAAGCAAATGGCTTTATGGATATTACAAGAAAGGCAATGAAAATAAATAAGTGATTCCATTCATATAGATAATGGTATTACAAGAAAGGCAATGAAAATAAGTGATTCCATTCATATAGATAATGGTAATTTTGTTTTAGCCAAAACAAAAAATATTGTAAGAGCCCTACGTGGAACAATATACAGTATTTCAAAATGGATTATAGTGGTGCCATATGCAGGACTAAAGTACTTCCTAGTCCTTGTTTGCTAATCAACTGGTTGTATGCATGTCATATCTATTGGAATAGTAGACTGGAGAGCAGGACATACGCAGAGGATTATAGAGTAGAAGGCAGCTTGCAGTTAAGTGCAATGGAAGTATAAATATTAATATATATCGGCACAGTGCCTGGACTAATGCTTAAAATCCTTTGGAATGCTTGATTGTCTGCATATTTACTGTACTGTTGATAAAATGCAAGGCTGTGTTGGAAGAAGTCTTACATTTGAAAGTGAGTAGTTAAGACTGTCTTGCTTATGAAAAAGTGGGAGAATTTTCATTAGAGGATGTAAGATTCTTAAGGTCACCAAGTACAGGCCAGTAATAGTCTTAATTAAAGGTATGATTTAATAAAAGTAGAAAAAATGGCCAGAAGTGTAATGACAGACAAGCTCAAATTAGAAATCAGATGTGCATCTTGAATGTATTGCCATAGTAACTGATTAAATTCTCCATCTCTTGCTATTCTGGGGGTTGGATTGGGTACCTTTTAAAATGTGCTTCAGCTAAATACAAAGTATTAGAACTTCAGAGGCAAAAGGTCAGTTCTCGTGGTCTATTTTGCTCTTTAATTCTAGTACACTGATATTGCAGCAGTCATACTAACCACTTATAATACTAGGTTCAGAATGAGAACTTGGATTATTAACAATAACCAAGTAAACAGAAGAAAGACTTGATCTTTCTTTTGCTTTGCCGTGTCTTGTTCATTATGTTTAGGCCTTGTATTGTCTTAACTGTTTTTAGTGGGGTATTGAGATTGGAGGTACAAGGATGGGTGTAGAGTCAGGTTTTCTTTTTTTTAGCTGTTGCTTCCCTCCCCGCCCCCCGTGGTAAAATTTGTAAAACAGACAGGAAAACCCAGGTTCCTGCATTAAATGAGAGAGAAAGAAAGAAAGAAAACAAAACAAAAACAAAAAAACAACAACCAAAAACTGGAGGTAGCAACATTAACAGCAGGTGGAGAAAGAGGTTGAAAGTAGGGATGACAGAAGTGGAAGTATTACTGCACACTCTTATGCCACTGTGATGATTAAATGGGTGTCATTAGATTACCCTATTTTTTTTAGCTTAGTTGTGGGGGTTTTTTTTTTTGAGATACTGCTTAGTCTTTCTTTCAGTTACTCTTAGGTAACTGATCATCCATCAGTTACCTAAAAACTTGGATCAGTTACTTTTCAGTTCTGGTATATGGTTTTCTTTTATAGGTAGTTGGTGTTTCTGCTGTGCTTGGCACAGGACTGGATGATTTTTTTGTTCAGCTTTCTAAAGCTGTAGACGAATATGAGAGGTAAGTTGATAACCTTTGGTCCCTGACCCAGTGAATACTTGCTGAAGTTACTGATTCATGAGCCCACTCCTTTGATTTGAAGGACTGATCACTTTTCACAGCCAAGGTAGTCTATGGTTTCTAATAAACTTAAGTGCAAGAGTCAACGTAAAAAGCAGCAGTCAAAAGGAACTATTCAGTAGTGAATTTTTGTACTAACTGTTCAGTGAAAAAGTAAAAGCTATCTGTGCCAGCAAATCTGTGAAGTCATTTTTTTCCTCTGATTCCATACAATGATAAAGGTTTGAATTGTCCTCAGGAAGCTAACAGATCAGTTTGGCAGACTGAATAGATGAGCAAGTTGAAATTCAATAATTCTTTGAGAATTTGCTCCTTACTGGATTCCTCCCCATGAAATACTGCCAGGCTGCTCTATATTAGAAAGCAAATCCATTAACTTGGATTACTTGGAAATACCTAAACCAGACCATAGATTATTGTTAGAGGAAAATATATCATGCTGGATTGGATAGCCAGAGAGAGGCTGCTGCAGCTTCATGCTCCCAGGTCTGATTAGTCTGGCCTGGTCATGCCCCAGGTCTGCATACTGCCTAGTCTCTGCTTACATGCAAATAGACTCTTTTATTCCCTTATCCTTCTATTTCCCACACTTGTTCTTCCCCGAATCTCCTAAGTCCCTCCCTTTTCCCACCTTTGGTTCTTCCCCTAAACATCCCCTAATAAATCCTGTGCTATCCCAAATACTCAAAAAACACCCCTAGGCAGCGACCCTTCTGTGCTTGCAAGGTGATCCAGAGAGCTCCCGATGAGGCATGGTGATGGGTTTCATGCCTGGACCATGGGGCTGATGGTTCTCCTGGGACAGCCCTGGGAGGAGCTGGGATAGGATATCCCTTCCCCCGAGTCCTTAATTTCGATTCCCTGCCTGCCACCTTGCCCCTGTGTTCCTCTGGGCTTGTTTAGATGCATCTTTGATGGTTTGATGGCTCTCCTGTGATGGGCCTGGGGGGTATCTGGGCAGGGTGTTATTTGTGCTTCCTCTCCCCCCCAAATGTCTCTCTGCGCTCTTTGGAGGTGCTGAGGAATTTTACCACATAACCTAAGAATTATTCTGGGATACACTGCCTACATAATGAAACTCTAGTTAAGGGTTTCATATAAGCTGCCAATGTGCGCTTGCAGCCCAGAAAGGTGATTGTATCCTGGACTGTATCAAAAGAAGCATGGCCAGTAGATCAGGGGAGGTGATTCTCCCTTTCTACTCCGCTCTTATGGTACCCTACCTGGAGCACTGTTCTGGGGCCCACGGTACAAGAAAGACATGGACCTGTTAGAGCGGGTTCAGAGGAGGGCCATGAAAACAGAGGACTGGAACACCTCTCCTGTGAAGAAAGGCTGAGAGTTGGGGTTGTACAGCCTGGAGAAGGGAAGGCTCCGGGGAGACCTTATTGCAGCCTTTCAATATGTAAAGGGGGCTTATAAGAGAGACAGAGAGAGACTTTTTTGTGACAGGACAAGGGGCGGTGGTTTTAAACTGAAAGAGGGTAGGTTTAGACTGGACATAAGGAAGAAATTTTTTATGATGAGGGTGGTGAGACACTAGAGCAGGTTGCCCAGAGAAGCTGTGGATGCCCCATCACTGGAAGTGTTCAGGGTCAGGTTGGACAGGGCTTTGAGCAACCTGATCTAGTGCAAGATGTCCCTGCCTGTGGCAAGGGAGGTTAGACCAGGTGATCTTTAAAGGTCCCTTCCAACCCAAACCATTCCATGATTCTAAAAAGAGGGTATCCACATCCACTTTATCCTTACTTCATTAAAGAAATATTTCAAAGGTCCCATAGTGGTACAATAGTTTGGAAGTCTGTGAACAGTCTTTTTGTATGAGATCCCATTGAACTGTCTTAGGAGGCACAAGTACTGGCAGAAAAGGTCACGTCTGTGATTAGAGATGAGTGATAAATCTGCTGATTAGGTGTAGCGGTGAAATGACTACCTCAGTCGAGCTGGTTTAATTTCTTATCCAACAAGATGGTGTGAGAAAGGTTTGCTATTTTAATAAAGTATGTTCACTTATTTTGCATCCATTGGTTTCAGAATCCAAATCTGGGTAAAAAATACTGCTAGTCTTTCTGAAATGTCTCTCAAACATGAAAGCCTTTTTTTGGGTAGAAACAAGCCTCCAAGATGATCCTTACTTAATACAAGTCATGTATTAGTTCAGACTGAATGCACTCTCTTTATCTTTTCAGAGAATATCGTCCAGAATATGAGCGCCTGAGAAAAACACTGGTAAGTATCTTTAACTATTGTATACCTGGGCAGTGTATCTTGGGCTCACTTTTATGCACACAAGTGCCTGTATGTTGGGAGGGTCTAACATTTCATTTACTAATCATACTCAGTGTGGAAAAACTGTCCTGCAGCTCACCATCTGCCTTTTTTCCTAGATTTGATAGCACATATCTTGACAAAAATAAAGATGTTTTGTAAAACAGATGTTGTTCAGTGTTTTTGTGCTAATAATTTATTTGGGCAAATTGTGAGAAAATAATTGGGAAAGATTTTTATATCTTCCATTCAGAAGGATAGGGACTTTTTTAAAAATAACTTTCCAAAGTGATTTGTTGAGAATATCATTGTATCTTTCCACACCAGTGAAGTGTATTGTTTTGACTTGGACAATTAATAATGAAGACTGAACTGCAGTACCAAAATCAGTAGCTCTGCTCACCTTGAGTTCTGGCGGTTCAAAGGACAGTTCTCTGCAAGCACAACTTCACTGAGTTTGGCTTCCTGATGCTGCTGAAAATGTTCATGAAGTCTGTTGTGCTGGAGGTTGCTCTCCGTATTTATCCAAAAGTTCTGTGTAACCTTAGTTGTAATGTAAGACCTGCTTACTGACTTCTGCTTTCTGGCTGGGGGACAGACTGCTAGTATTGGGTTTTAAATGTACTCAGAATCCACATGTAACTTTGTACCTACAGGAGAAAGCTCAAAACAAACAAAAGAGAGAGCAGCTGGAACACTTGTGGAAGGACATGGGCAGCGTGTGTGTCCAGGGCCACACACTTGCAGGTACCTTATTAGGAAGATTAAGTTTACTGGAGAAGTTGTCTGAAGAGTCTGCCTTGAGAAGTCATATAGTGCTTTTCTGTCTTCACAGCAAAAGTGCGAAAGCAGCTTCATGTTAGTAAAGAGGAGTGGGGCTTTAGTTCCTGTGGGATGGGTCAGACTTAGCTCTTCTATGTGTCAGTCACAGACATGAGAAGAAGAAACCCTGCTGTGTAGATCATAGAACCATAGAATCCTTAAGGTTGGAAAA